CGGGGCGCGAGGCCGCATCCTCCCCTGAGGGCGGCTCTTGGCCTCCGCCGGGCTGCGCGGTTTCCCCTCTGGCGGGGCGTGTTGTTATGGGGTCAGAGCTCAGCGAGGGACGGGGTCTGCCCCCTTCCGGTGGCTGCTCCTTACAGGCTGGGCTTCCGGGGGTCTTCCGTGGTTCGAGAAGGGAATGTTTTATGTGCTCCTAGTGAAGCTGTCCCTGCTAAGAGTGTACCGTAGTGAAAAGCTGACATGGATTTATTCGGGAGTTTCGTGTATTCTACATACTGAGATGTTTTTCTTCTGTCTTGTTTTCTCTCAGCCAGCTCTCTTCAATTACCTTTATTTCTATTTATATGATAAGATTGTCACACAATTTTTTTAATATATCTTTCTTGGGACATTCCTTAGGTGTTTTCATCTGGCAAAAATGGGTGAACCTCAGCAAGTGAGTGCCCTTCCTCCACCTCCAATGCAATATATAAAAGAATATACTGATGAAAATATCCGTAAAGGCCTGGCTCCAAAGCCACCTCCACCTGTGAAAGACAGTTATATGATGTTTGGTAATCAGTTTCAATGTGATGATCTGATTATTCGACCCTTGGAGAGCCAGGGTATTGAACGGTTGCATCCTATGCAGTTTGATCACAAAAAGGAATTAAGAAAACTTAATATGTCTATCCTGGTCAACTTTTTGGACCTCTTGGATATCTTGATAAGGAGTCCAGGGAGTATAAAGCGAGAAGAGAAACTGGAAGACTTGAAACTGCTTTTTGTTCATGTCCATCATCTTATAAATGAGTATCGCCCTCACCAAGCCAGGGAGACACTGAGAGTCATGATGGAGGTGCAGAAACGTCAGCGTTTGGAAACAGCAGAGCGATTTCAGAAGCACTTGGAGCGAGTTGTAGAGATGATTCAGAACTGCCTGGCTTCCTTGCCTGATGATCTGCCTCATTCAGAGGGAGGACTAGGAGTGAAAGTGGAAAAAGTGGATCCTGATGATGGCAGCAACTGTATTGGACAGATTGAAAAGCAGAGAGAGCGTTCCAGTGGCAAGAGAGATCAAGTTTTAGACAAAGATGCAGCTATGTGTAGCATTATTGATGAAATGACATGAACAAAACTCTTTTGTTTTTGTTAGCTAACCGTGGTGAGAGGCAAAATGGATGCTGAGGGTACATGTTGTATTTTGTTTTGCTGTTGTACAAGCAGATGAAGCATTTGGTGTACACCTGTTGGAGGTTGTGAGTGACTAGGCAGATTAAAATGTTTAATATTTTGTGAGCTGTTTGTTTATTGATAGAAACTAAAAAGTATACTTTTTGTTAAATGTATCATGTGAGATGGTAGCCACAGATTAAAGTTAGCTTTTTGTGTTGGACTTTCATTTGTCACTTTCTGCTTTTTTATATATGTTTGTTTTGTTGTTGGGGTTGTTTTTTTTTTAATTGCTTTATAGTGTGGAAGCAAGTGAGGGATATGACAGAGGAATTGCTGTTGACAGTTCCTTAATTTCAAGTAGTGCTAGCTGTTTACAATTTTAGTGGGTATTTTCAGGAATATGTTATTCAATATTAAAAATAAAATTAGTGTCAAGTCTGCAAAATCCATTCCTTTCTAGCTTTTTAATTAAAGAGAACCTAAGCATTCCTTTATCACGGATGTAATGTGGTGTAATTTGCTTTACAGAGAGATGGACTGTCAGGAATCTCAACAGCTAAATTAATGACAATTAATTGGATTTAAAGTATCTTAGATGTAAATCATAACCAGTCTTGAGCTTACAAAAATGCCTGCTTTTTTTCCTTTAACACACAGATGCTTAGACTAACTTATATTTCCTGCATAGTTAATATACCCACATGAAGTGAATCATTTTACAGTGCAGATGCTCTGTATTTGCCTTTTAGGTAGGCCCTGTGCCCTCTCAGGAAGCAGAGTCTGGCTGGATAATTAGCCTTTATGCTGATTGAGAACTTCAGGTTTGAAAGAACCTGCAAGTAGCCCATCAAGTGGAAGCCTATCAACCATGTTTGAAAACATTTGAGTTGGATCATCCCCCGTAGCAAGAGGAGAAGTGTGATTTCATAGTGAAGAAGTGACTTCTTTACCCTTCCCCTCCTGTCAGGGAAATCCTACTCGAGTCTTTTTGCCGTGTAACACCGTAGTGTGTATGTTTGCCAAAGTATGTACAGCAGCTAAACTTTTGGCTGTGGGAACTCACACAAACTCTTGTTTTTAATGACAATTTAACAAGCTGTGTCTCTGTTTCATTTCATAATTCTGTTGTTTTCAGAAATGTTACTGAAATGGGCAGGCAGAAGTTCTCAGCTGTTGGGTGGTAGGGGTTGAACTTGGTGCAGATAAAGATGAAATGAACTGAAGCAAGACTATGACTCACTGGAGGACATCATCGGCTATTTTAAGTGCACATGACATCGTAAGTAGCAATAAAGAAGTAGAAACATGGATTTTAAAGAAATGTATGAAGAATTTCACAAAGTTAACACCTTTGTCCTTTATTCAGCCACCACTGTTTCCTTCCTTCTCCCTGGAGTAGATCTGAATTTTATTCCTTGTAAGTAGCTAAGACTGCTGCAAGTGAGCAGAATTAATTTTGTATCTACTTTGCAAATGTTGTTTCATGTGGAAGATCTGAAGAAACATTTAGTGCTGGATAAGAGAAGTCCTGCACTGTGGAACTACAGTTTGTCATGGATGGTTTAACTTTGCCATTCAAAAAGAACTGTCGTGGATGCTCAATGGTCTTCTGTTGATTTTTGTCTAATTTTTATGCTTTTAATAAAGTCATAGGCCTCGGTTCCGTAATTTCAAAATAGTACACAAGCTGCATTCTAGCAGCAGCTGGAATTGCAGTGAGCTTTGTTGTGAAACCATGGAGGTGAATGAGGATCATGTAATTTAAAAAATACCTGAGGCTGCTTTCACTCTCCAAAAAGTTTTATGAATAACTTGTTTATTTGAGATTATTTTTTTCTATGTTTAACACAAACCCCTAGAAAGCTGTGGGAGGCTTCCTGGGCTTTTTTTTTTTTTTTTTTTCCCAGCCGAAACAATGACTTTCCCCTCCTTTGTCAGGTCAAAGCAACGATGGTTTTCTCCTTTTCTGTTACATCTTCACTTTGGGATAACGACAGACTAACTGTGGTGAAGGCAGTGGGTGACATCTGCCTGTTACTCTAGGGAAATGGGCATTTCACATTCTCTAGGATGATGTGACTCGCTAACAAATGAGATGATAAATGTTGTCTTTTCTAGTGTCTTAATTAACCTGCTCCTGATGATATCTTTTCTTATCTCAGCAAGTCCTAATTTTATTTTTAGATGTGATAACATTTAAAATACTCTATCCCTGAAATGTTCATGTGTACAATATGTGTTGGATTATACATGCCTTATGACACTTGATGAGATAAAGTTAGTATCAGGTGTTAAGCAGCATTTTGTTGGATGTTTTCTTAATTAAAAAAAAAAGGAAGGAAAAGAAAAAAGCCCAGCCCTTCTATTATGCTGTCTGAACAAGCACAGGGATAACGGAAGTACAGTTACTTGAGAAGTTCCAAAAGCTCTTGTTACAGAGAAGACAAGTGAGTCACCAGTGGACAAAAGGGGAAAGTTTGTAGCTCTGATCATCTTGGTGGGGAAAAAAGAAAACCTATTTATGATATGGCTTTAAAATAGCACAATGAAGAGATGTTTCCAACAATACTTTAAATTTAGTTCAATACTTATAGGTTTGGTTTGGTTTATTTTCACACAGTGTGATCTGGCTGTATGCTCTGATTCAAGAAAAAAACGTGCAGCTACTTAAAGGGCTGAATGCAGAAGATGATGTTGGCACCTTTTCTGCAGAAATGGTGCTAATTTCTTGCACGCACACACACACACACACAAAAGGTGGAAAACCAGCATGTAGGAACTCAGAAATGATGTCAAGGCATTCCGTGTGATCTGTGCTGGAGATGAAATCCAAAGCAAATTGGTTAACCATTGCCCTGTAGCTCTCACATTCTCTTACTGTGTGACCAGAGCAGCTTTCCTGGGGATACAGCCAGCAGAACAGCACCCAAACTGCTGCAGACTGTTGTATGAGCAAGCAAGCTGGGTGAAGTGAGTGGAATGGGCTCAGGCAGAGCTCTGGGATAAGTTTCCTTCTTTTCTCATGCTATTTACTCATTTCAGAGCTCTGCCATGGCCCATGCAGAGGGAGAATCAGCGTGGACCCGTGCACGCTGCACGTTATTGCTGGTAACTGGCAGAAGGGACATGTTCTCGTCTGTGGGTGGGTGTTTGTCACACACTAAACCACCAAGAGTTCATCAGCCCGTGCCATGCGTTATGTCACAGCTGTGGTGGATGCAGTCACCTGCAGGTTGTCCTACCTTTTCCATTTGTGCAGAGCAGTTTCAGGATCCTAATCAGAATTGTTCCTGTAGCAATTGTCTGCAGTTTCCTGTTTCCTCAGAAAGGAGGAACAAAGAGGAAGCATTTTCTTAAAAGAGTCCTGCTTAAGGACTGCATACAAAGATCCCCTTCTACCTCCTTCTCTCAGCTCTTTCCTACAGGTATGTTGCTAGTGTTTGACTCTTGGCTACTTTAATCCCTTGTTTTTCTTCCTTTTCACTTAAAGTGTCACTTTGGTGACTGCTTTCACATAAGGTAGTAGGTGCTAGTAAGCTCTGTTGTTCTGGTTCTAGCCTAGTGTATGTTTTAGAGTGTGTTTTTTGGCAGCATTTCTGCTGTTTCAGTTATTGATAAAAAGTAACTCTTTACAACAATTTTATCTGTATAAAACAACGTAAAGTAGATTAGTTACTTCAGCAAAGAACATTTGTTGGCCCTAGATTAAATACACTTGATCACAGTTGCAGTTCTGATCCAAACAATATAAAAAGACACGATGTCCTCAAGAAGAGTTAGGTAATCCAGGGAGAGGGAGAGTGGCCAGGGAACACCATTTCTCAAAAGCTATATTTCAGCAACAGTTTGTTAAAACGAGCCTTGAACCTGAGGTGACACGGTTTTCATGCTACTTTTAAAGTGACCTCTGTATTCTGTGTGTTACTATAAATTGCAAAAATCCCCGATGCATACAGAATTTTTAAGTCAGGTGATGAAGGACTGCAACCCTATTAGGCTATAACTGTGTAACAGTACGGCAGCTTCCAATACAACCAAATTATAGCCTACAAAGAAAACAGCATTTGCCTAAAGATGCTCTGAGCTGCTTTCAAGTATTAGAACCAGAAACTTATGATTAAATGCTTGAGTAATTCTTCCTAGGAATCTGTTATTTTGCCAAGTCCTTTTTGTTTATCACAGTCTGTTACATATCCTATGTAATCTCTTACCCAAAATTTTATCTATTAGGGCAAAAAAAGGTGTGGGAAGCAGTATAGGGCGATGGCTGATAGTTGTGTCAGCTCAGTGTTGCTGACAGCAGTTTCATTTGCTTGTCATCAAGCAGATCTGGGGAAAAGGAGAAGCAGATTTCTGAAGTGCTGCAAAGTATTTTAGCCTTTTAGTCAAACCACAGTCAGCAAGACTTCAGCTGTGTACACTGTCTGCAGCAGCACTTCGCTGTTCTGGTAGATACTAACAGACTAACCACAGGAAAGACAATCCAGATTAGACTAAAGGACACCCTCAGCTACGTCTGAAGGTGACGTAGTAAAAAGTAAAACCAGAAGTTTATGAAGAAGATGTTTTCTTGAATGTAGGTGCCCGAAGGGTGAACAAGAGGAGGGTTATTCCTTGTCTCCAGCCACAATGTCATCTTGTTTCTGCAAGAACTGGGTTCTTCTGATCCTGCTTACAGGTAACTAAGTGGGCCTAAGTGAATAGGTGGAGGTAGATGGCAGTAACATGCATCAATGTTTCTGAGGGTTGAAAAGAGAGAGATTTTTCTGTTACAATGGGAAGAGTGTCCACATGGCACAGAAACTGCAGTGCTGTGTTATGAATAGGACTTTGTCACAGTGGCCTGATAGTCTTCTGATGGCCTTGTCTCCTTTTGAAAACAAAATCATGTTGAGGGTATGATGGTTTTAAAGACACTGATTCTTGGGCTGTCTGCTATTCGTATTAGTGAAAGATCTTTGGGGATTTTTTTAGATAATGATGATCTGAAATGGGGAGAGAACTTCAAATCATTTTAGAAAAGATGTAAAACAAGGGTATTTCCCTTCAAAAGGCTTTGTGGAGGTGAATGCTTAGGAAGACAGGGCAAAAGTCAGCTGTGGCTTCTGGTGTGTTTTTAGCCAATATGAAATTTTATTGGGACAAACTGATGATTTCTCCTTTCTTATTCTGAGAAAGGAAGGAAAGAAATAAATATTACTATTAAAGGCAATAGCACTGAAAACAATAGGTTACAGAGTAGTACTCGTATAGGCAGATAGACATTAAAAATTTTGTTGTAGGATATGATCTGTAGAAACAAAAGGGATATTGCAGATATTGTTTGTTGTAGTTCTTTATAAAGCCTTTTATAATGAGATTCATTTAGAGCTCACTTTTTTATATTAAGTAAAATACATTCTTTTCCAAAATTAGTTTCTATTATGCCATTGTGGCAAAGTATTTGTATGCAGACTTATTTTTTAAACTATAATAGCTTAGGAAAATAAGAGTTGAGCTGGGCAAACAGCTTTTTCAGAAGGGACAACTGTAATCAAGCCATGTGGTGCTTGGGATCTACTGGCCCATGTTGGCTGACCTGCCTCGGGGAACTCCCTTCCTAATTATAGACTGGCCTAGACTTTTAATAGAGATTGTTGCCTGTACTTGCTGCAGCAATTTATATCTCTGAAATGTTAATATGGATAGATAAAAATATTTACACGTGATCCATGTTATTGAATTTGGTAAGGAATATGTATTAGTAAGTGTATGGCAAATGGTTTTCTTTGAAGCACCAGCAGACAGAACATGCACCTTAGGAGCCCCAGTGCATGACCTGTTAGGAGAAAGTGGTTACAGGATGGCTATGACTGGATCACCAGAGCACAAATGATTTTGGCTGACACTTAACGCAGCTTTTATTAAAACCTTCCTAAAAGGAATACTGACTGGAGTGGTCTAAATACAGCAAAAGAAACTGTCTCACTACGATGAATGGGTTACTGACTACTAGGTCTCAGTGTTTTGATTTGAATAGGGTGACACAGCCTTCTGGAAATGTGAAAAATGCCCTTTAATGGGAACCAAGCAAGTTAGAAACTGCATAAGAATGAGGGAAGAAAATAAGGAGTAGAGAAAGAGGACATAAAATTTCTCAGAAAAGCTCTGAAAAATCTCTTTGATAGGAACAGGAAAAATCTGTTGTTAGGCAGGAAAAATGGAAACAAGTTCAGCAGTGATCGTTCAGATGAAACGTGCCATTCAGTGGCTTCTCATTGAAAGAGAGGAAAGGTTTCCCACAGTGGCTTTAATGAAAGTCAGTGTCTCACTGTTCCCCTATGTGTGCCTTAGATTGACCCTAAACTAAGGTAAAATATTGAGCTAACAGAGTGGATATGGCTAAAGAGAAGCCACAGAGTTGTGCAGATCCAAACTCTGTTCTGTCTTCGCCTCTTAACGCTTTCTGTAGCCTCTGCAGGTAGGGAGTTTCTTCATTCTCTGGCTAGAAACATATTCTGAACAAATTGCTGGCCCGATCACTATCCCTTGCTGCATCAGTCCTTCTGAGATTCATATCTGTTAGTGGAAAACCTAATGCAACAGTGCCTGGTGGTGTTTGTGAGGTGGAGGTATTGGGTCGTGCAAGATGCACAAGAAACTTCCAATTGCGTGCACTGAGCTCAACAAATATGTTTGTCTTTTTGTCCACAGGTCCTGCAGTATCGGGATCAGTTGTGAAAGGAAATGTTGGTCAGAATATCACTGTGCCCTGCTTTTACCGTGTTAGGAGGGGAGAAGACCTCACGTCAATGTGCTGGGGTCGTGGCAGCTGCCCTGTTTCAAAATGCTATCAAACCATTATCTGGACAGATGGATGGAAGGTGACAGAGCAGTACAACAGCAGGTATACGTTGAAAGGGAACCTGCTGATGGGCGACGTGTCCCTCACGATCGTGAACGCCGAGGAAGCAGACAGTGGGATATACTGCTGCCGCGTTGAGATCTCAGGGTGGTTCAATGATCAGACAAGTAATCACAACGTTGTGATAGAGAAAGGTGAGTGCAGAGGCTCTCCCTTGTGGCAGTGCTTTTGTGGGAAATCTGCTGTTGAGTCTGGATTTCAAAGCTTGTGGTGGAAATTATTTCTATAATCATCCATAGGACTGATCTTTAGGACTTTGCAGATCTGCCGTTAGTGGTGTTTAAGTTAAGCTGTTTTTGGCATTGTTGTAATCCCAGCGCGGTCACTGAAATTAAAAAAAAAAAAGGATCTGGTGCTTTGTTTCATGGTGAGTTTTCTTAGAAGCACTATTTGAAGAATTTAAGAGAAAGGGCAGCATAGAGTACTTAATTCATCCGAAGCGTTATACTTGCACACGTTTGATAGAAAACGGTGTTTCATTTCCCCTGCTTCATTCCAGTGTAAAGCCCAGGGACACAAAATTAGTATAGACAAATTTTTTTTATTAACTCTTCCTTTGATTTTTAGTTTTTCTCTTGTTTGTAAAATGCATAATAATATACAGAACAAGTGGCTGACAGATGTACTGTGTAGCTGGTGCTAGCTAATTTTTATTATGGAAACATTTTCTCTTTTTCACTACAAAAGTGCACACTAAGGTTAATTATAACATATGTTGGTTTTGTTTTATTTTTTAACATCAGCTAGGATCTCTACTGCAAGTCCTCACACTTACACCTCTGAACAGACCTCAGGTAACTTTTATCCAAGTATTAATCTCAATAGCATATATAAGCTATATTGCAAATGAGGATCTTAGGAAGGAAACAGTATATGATAGAAATGTCTTGGCTAAAATTTACTAAACATTGCCATAGAACCAGATAGCAGAACTTGGATTTAAATTCTGACTGACAGTATATAGAGACTCCAACAGAAGGAACATGTATACATGGGAGGAAGTTTGCTTCCAGGTGTTATGCATAAGTAGATGTTTTATTGGTGCTGCAAGTGTTTTTTCTTGTGGCTGTTGTTTTGGTATGTTGTTTTCTTTGTGGTATAAAATCTTTCCTTGTCTTCTGAAAACACATCCCATGAAGAGTAAACCACAATTTTTTAGGAGTTGAGTGTGCCTACTATTTACTCAATTTATTTGGTGCTTTCTAACATAGAACTGTTTCATTGGGCTAGCACAAAAGTGTGTCTGATTCAGGATCCTATCTCAGTACCAGTCAACAGCAGATGTTTAAGGAGGATTGTAGAAACAGGGCAGTAATTTTGTGATACAGCACCAAAGTATTCTTCTACCCTGCTATAATGTGTGTCTCAGAGGCTACCCACATCCTCTGTAGCCTATGCATATTTAATAATGTCAGTTCCCTCACTGTAGTGGAAGAGACAGTGAATGACTCTTCTTCACTCAGTTTCTCCATTCCACTCACAAGTTTACAGACTTCTATCATATACCCACTCAGCTGCATCTTTTTCAGTCTGAAAAAGACAATTTTAATTTCCAGTGCGCAAGAGAGAGCTCATAGTGTAACAGTAGCTTATTCTCTGGATTTTGAAAGAAAAATCAGGTATGCCATTTGTATTTCTCCCTCCATCTTAGATGTTTCCAGCTAAGCAGTTCTAAAATGTTACAACAGTTGCATTTCCTTTTTGGAAGAAGAAGTGAAAACTTTCTCAGACTCTCTCCGTTCTAGTTGCAAATAACATGGCTTCCAATCTTAGAACTCACGGGTTTTCTTAACCCTGTCACATCTTCCTTAGCTGCTGGTGGAACAATTTTGTATGTTTTCAGGATACAAGTTAATACATGCATGTTTATACAGAGGGAGACTGGAAAAGACATATGGCTATGTGCCTGTGATGGAGAAATACTCCAGCATCTTCAGTGTAAGAGAACAGTGAAGCAGATTATTCTGTCCTCTTCAAAATAAAGCTTCTGGGATAAGGGTAACAATTTAAAACATCAAAGGAGCCAGCTGGTGTTGTCATAATGTGAATAGGAGACTTTGTTTTCAGGAGTGTTGTAGATCATCTGACAACACATGGGGAAACTGAGACTGATGATATGGAAGACTTAAGTTTGTAGCTCTGAATTTTAAATATTGCAAACGGCTTTGCTCTGGGAAATTACCTCAAAATATGCTGCAGGTCTTTATGTAAACGTATCCCACTTTGGTCAATCTGTTTATTGAATAGCTGTCTGGGAACTTAAAAGGATCACTGCCTCTTTTTGGCTCCAAAAGATGGTGCCTACCTTGGTAATTCCTTCCTTCTAGGCCCTGCACTGAGATAACAGCAAGAGCTAAGTGTTTCCTGGAAGGAATTGAAAGCTCTGCAAAGGGCAGCAGAGGCTCCAATATTCAGAGTTTTGTGCTGCCCTCTGAAGGCGCCAACCCCTTTATGATATGCAGAGCCAAGACTCCTGATAGAGAGATACTTAAGTTCAGTGGTCCCAATTCAGCAACACAATTTTCTCTCTGTCAAGGAAGAATGGTTCTTTGTGCAAGTGATATTTTTGTCTTGCCTTTGCTCAGCTTCTGGGACCGCCAGCGAGTCATCCTTTACCATTGGAAGAACATGGCCATCGGTTTCTGCTTCAGAAGCTCCTCAGACTGTAAGCATCTCTGTTGTGCTATAGCACACCTAGACAAAGTGGGTAGACATGAGATGTTATTGGGTCATCCCTACAGTTCACATGCATTGCTTCAGTTTGATTGCAAAATAATGTTTTGGGGATTTTTTTGTAGACTGTACATTTAGTGCTTATGAAAGAACACTTAGGTGCTCATTATTAAAGGGGAAACAAAAACTGCTTTGCGTGCATAAAGTACTTCCTACTAATGCAGGAAGAGCTTTAGCAACATCTATATTGCCTTTCAGGCCTCTAGTCTCTGCTCAAGCACCTCAGACTGCTTGGATATAACCTCAAACCTGCAGGTATGGCAGGGTGTGGGGAAGAGTGGAAACTGGGCCGCCTGACAGCGTAGCGATGCACCCACACTCCCCTTGCGTTGGGGTTCAAACACGCAGCTCTGCGTCTGCCCTGCTGAGTCCTCCAGCCCGTATCGCAGGGTGACAGGCAGTAATATCACCCCAGTTTTATCAGGAAGAGAAGACAACCAAGCTAGCCTTTGGGAAGGCCTGCTGTGATGTGCTACAAGGCTGCACATGCTGTGGGCACTCATAGTGGTCCCTGTGCAGAATGTAGGTCAGGGACCGTACTGCGCTTCAGCATCCTCCCAGGCCTGAGTTCCTAATGAGAGGTCAGATATCTAATGGCTGGCTTCAGAAAGAAGTTTTGTCTAAATAAAGACCAATGAAAGGAGAAGGCATGTTTATTTGTTGGTATAAAGCCTTGAATAACTACTGAATAAGCAGACAAAAAGGGGGTGTGTGAGTGTGACACCTGGAGATATTTTACTCATAAAAAAATAAATAAAATATTCACCAAATAGTATTAAACCTGAACAAATGGGATTTGTCATAACTTCAGGTCCTTTCACTCTCTCAAGAATAGTGTTTAACATTATGGTTCACACGACTGTTGCAGTGATGCTGCTTGAAACTAGTCCTGTTATTTCAAATTAGGCTCTTGCTCTCAAGTGTACTTGTACTGCAGGGTTGCAAAACACACAAATAGCCTTGAGTTGTGTATGAGCTTTTTGCTTGTGCTGATGTTAATGCTCATCTGGTTTGTGTTTGACAGAACGTGTCTGTATCACTTCCCATTCAGCAGTATTCAGAAAATGGGGTGTACATCGGGATTGGTTTATGTGCAGTACTTCTAGTCATCCTGATTTTGGCTCTGTTTCTCACTAGACGTAAGTACTTTTCACAGATGGGTCAAGGACGGGTCAGGTACGTCTAATCATAGAGGTGGCAGATGCCACGCCTTCTGCTTCAGAGAAGTGAGCTAGGGTCTCTGGATGGCCTCATTCTGCACCCTGCGCTGTGGTTGCTTGCTCAGCTCCCCCTTAGCCTCTGGGGCACAGAACAGCAAGGGCCAATGTGGTCTTGTTATTTTATATCTCAGACTCCTTAGCAACCAGGCAACCCAGGGTCTGGTGAGATGTGTGATACAAGACCACTGCTCCTGCCTGACTCGTTTCCTCCGACTCATTCCTCAGTTGCCATGTTGTTCCAGTCCTCTTTAATGGGAGGAGCACTGGTTTCATATAACTATATCCAATATTTTCCTATGTGTCAGACTTTCTCCGTAAAGGCTCTTGGTCTGACCAAGCCATATGAATTAGATTTCATGGAAATAATGGGGATTTCCTATACTGAAAGCATCTGCTTAAAGTTCCCTTATTTAGTTTCTTCAAGTTTGCTTACACTTGATTTTTTTTGAACCTGCTACTTTATTTGCTTCTGATGGTTTAAAGAAAAGTATGTTTTCTTTCTTTTCTTTATTTTAATTCTGGATGGTCCTTAGAATATTTATACAATACGAAGAAGACGGGTGGCTTTGCAAAGTAAGTATTCCGTTTCTGCTTTAACTAATAGGACAACCTAGGTTGCAGAAAGAAAATGTTGCCAGTATGCTGACCACTCCACTATAAACTTTGTTTTTCTTTTTTAATCTCAAGTTAATAGGAAACATTGTAAAAAGAAAAAAAAATATCCTGCTACTTATCATTAGTTAGTAAGCAAAAATGAGTATAACTGTCAGTTTATTGCATTAGGGAGCATGCAAAAGTCAAGTGTGTGTTATCTCATAAATGGAAAAATGATTCATTATAAGTCATGTTGAAATAACTAGTTTTGCATATTTTACAGTGAGCTGATTGATTTAGCTATCTGCTTTTCTGTGTTTCTATTGTCTGTTTCTTATTTAACAGTATGGCTTTTACTCTTTTGTGCAGCTTCATTGCATTTTGGAGGCCAGAAGGTGCAGGAAACCATAGTGCCCTGGAAGATGAGATCCATACAGAGGAAAACATTTATATAATACACTAAGGACTATATGCATGATTGCCTTTGTCATTGCTGGGATATTAAATAGTTTGCAGAATGTTAGCTGCTCCCTCTGTTCAGCAACTAAACATGACTGGACTACTGAAGCATTATTCACATCATTCTAATAAAACAAATAAAATCTACGCTTCTAATTAAAAACTTTATCAGCCTGTTCCAGAAACAGAAACGCTACTGGCTTGAATGGAAATTTTCAGAACCACTTATCAAACCCTGAGGAAAGTTAACATGTTTATCTGCTTCATATTCTCTCTTCCTTCTTGGAAAAAAGAAGAAGTGCCAGAATAGCTATTTAATCACAAAAGGAAAACCACACATTTTTTTTTTTTTTTTTTAAGTTTGTATTCACTGTGTTTTTTATCTGCCAGCTACAAAAAACTCCATGCCATCAGAGGGCAGAAGCAATCTTGTAGCTGCTATGACAAAGATGACACATGGAAAAACTTGGTAGCATTGGTATTTCAATATACAAATGTTGTATTTTCATTAGTCAGGTATACCCAGCCCTGAAAACAGCTCAGTAATGCAATGTACTAATTCCTGTCCACCCACAGTTAAATATGGAGGAGCTATTGATGCTCACCTCCTCATGGGATGTGCACAGAGTCTACAAGATCAATATTTCAATGTGAAGAATATTCACAGCTTGTTTTCAGAGAACTGTGACAAAGTGTTTTTTCCTCTGCAAAATACGTAACATTTTCTGTGGCTTTCTCCTTGGGCTTGTTTATGCCCTGAGAAGTTCTCAGGGTGGAAAGTCTCACTTCCAGGCCTCTAAAACAACTGAACAAAAATTAATTACTTTGTAAAGTTAATTAAATTCCTACTTTTATTAGCTCATGGAGAAGTCATGGACATTGCACAAAATATTGGCTGAAAGTTTTCCTTGCCTTTATAACCTTCTAGATACCAAACAACTCTGATGTCTTACATTGGATTTTTTTGATGGCTTTTAGCTCATAAATGGGGAGTATCTGTGGCCCAGCACTTTTCCTCCATTGCTCCTCAGTTAGACACGCCTCTTGGCTTTTATTCTCTGCAAAACTAAACTTTGTTTTACTTAAAATAAATAAATGGAGGCAGCCTCATGAGGATGAATCAACGCTTTATGTGTTGTTGAGCAATAGATACAACACACCCAATTCAGCTTTAAGTGGAAGAATAATTTTCCCCAATTGTTTTTAAGAACACATTTTTAAACAGAGGCTGAGGACTTCCTGAAAGAGCAGAAAAGTAGAACAGGCATGAGAGAGACCAACTCTTACCAGATATTGGTCAGTACAAATTTTGTCCTGAAGCTCATCCCAAGCAGCAATGTGGAATACCTAAAGCAGACATTACTGCTACGAGGAATGCTTGCAGATTTATCACACACATTCTGTCACTGAGTTCATAATTTTCAAGAGAGTCATGCAAACAACATAACATAGCTGTGTTATCCAATGAGGCATAAAGGAGCAATAATAAAATCAGTAGGTATTTATGTTAACAACTGAGACACTTGGGGCTATGATCTGGTTGTGCTTTAAGGGGAGCTGGGGTCAGTGGAGCAGTTAGTTACCCATCCTTCCTCTAGCTGTCAGAGATGGGAGAGGTTGAGCTGGGTAGAGAAGGGAGTGATTTCCCCCAGCAGTCCTGGAGAGCTTGGCTAAGGTGAGATACTGCAGGTGAGCATACTTGCAAAGACCCACGGAGGAGGGAAAGTCTCCTCATCCTGTTGAGGAAGGAAGTGGAAAACAAGTTGGGATAGGTGACCTTGGTGTGCTTTGTATTTTCACTTGTGCTGTGTATTGTCCTGGGGCTGCCTGTTGCAGCAGGCCTAAAAGGTTGAAAATGCAAAGATGAATTGATGGTTGACTGAAGGGCTCAGTGTGGGAGCACAGATATTAGGTGATTGCTGATCCCTAGGCCAGGAAAAACAATGGAGGAAACCTGCTCTGCCATTTTCTGTCTTCATGTCATATGTTGCCTTGTGTTAAGAAGGTACAAAACTAAAAAGGACCTGCTAGTGTTAGACTGTATTTTTGTATTCAACTATTAGTAACAACTACTAAATTAAAATCACTGGCCCTGCTGCAGACATTGCTTACTTTCTGCCTGGCTGAGCATGTCACTGCTGTGGGCTCTAGCCCATGACCAGAGCTGGAGGAAGTCTGATCTGGTTTTTGAACTAGATCTCAGGCAACATCTTCAGCAATTTCTGCTTTCTGCAGCTTTTACCAAATCAACATCTACTGGGATCAGAGTTAAACAATTGTGGGGTTTCCAAAATTATCTGATCCAACCCGTCATGCTCTTAAGGCATTTGAGGACCATCCTTAAGCCTGCTAAGCATGAAAACTGCTTGTCCATAAGGCTTTTTTTTTCTTGATATTACAGACTAATTCAGACTAATTCTTATATCAGTGAGTTTTACATGTAAAATCAAGTTCTAGAATATCTGATAACCAAAGTCTTCATTAAAGTTTCCTTTCTGCTGTGCCATTACTTGGTAAACAGACCCTGCAAAGATTGTGTAGAGCAAGAACCTCACCTTGGATATGCAGTACATGCAAATAGGTAGAAGCTCCCTATGCTTTTTCATTACTTCCACTCATGTCAGTGGATCTTGGAACAGGTATTTCAAAATGAGCCCTAGAGATGTGCAGGTGGCACTTAGAGCCCGTTCACCCATTAAGAGATTATCCAACTGTGCACAAACTGGCAGCACATTGAGTGTGGTAAGGCTAATGAGCTGCAAACTGATGTTTTTGTGGGAATTCTCTACCTTTCCTTTTCTGCCTGCAAGAAGCCACTAGATAGCAGTACAGAAGCAGAAAGCAAGGCAAGTTTTTCTGGTTCTTCACAGCACACTTTGGTTTTGTGTGGTCTTTTTCAATGCACTCTTGCATTTAGCCTAGTCTCGCTGAAGAAACAAACCTGACATTATGCTCTGTCCATCCTCTTCCTTCCCTAGTCACCTGTAACATACTAACCAATTCTGTTTTGACAGTCTTCCTAGAAACTGGTAGTTGGGCAAAGACCCAAATTTGTGCCCCAGGTGGGATTCAGCTGCTCCCTGCACTGGTATCAGCTGGACATTGGCTCACAACCACTGCTTGATGGTGAGCGATAGAAACAAAGGAGAAACTGGGATCATTGCAGGGAAAAAGTCTCCAGGATATTGGACACATCAGGTTTCTTTAGTTCTCTTCACAGAACAGCTGGGGCTGTGTGTACTTGGCATTGTATGAACTGTACCTGGTAGAATATAACAAATTAGGTATTTTACTGATTGCTGGTTAACCTGCCTTATCATGTTGACAATAGGACACTGCTATATTGTGTCTGTCCCCACTGGTTGCTGTTTATGCTGCACTGAAGCATCACTTCATCACAGAATAGTTCTCTGAGCTTCACACTGCTCAATCTGCCACTAAGTTGGCTACAGCAGCATCAGTTGGCTACATGCTGGGCAAGAAAGAAACTAGGCATCCTGGCTTTGCTGGAGCCTAGTCTATTGGAGGTTTACTTGTGACTGTGACATAGTGGTTGTGTGATGGATGAGGATGCTAATGAGAGGTAGCCTACTACTCCAATGTACTAATGAGTCCAACAGGTCTGCAAGCACGAGTCCTTCTCTAATGCAGTGTTGGGGAGGGTATTGAATAACGAATCCCTCCCAAACTTCCTGTGCTATTCAGGATTTTGTAGAACTATTCATGGTGCCCCATAGGTTATCTCTTTTCCAAGCTGAGTTATCTTAGACTGCCCATCTAATCCTCTGTGGAAGCTCTTCCATACTTTCCATCACTCTTTTTGCCCTTGCTGGGACCCTTTCTGGATCTAAGATACGCTTTTGAGGGGTACATAGAGTCCAGGGTAGATTTGTACAGTGGTGTGATGCTGTCTTCTGCTTTGTTTTCTATGGCTTTACTAATAACTGATAAAATTTGATTTGCCTTTTTCAATACTAATTAGCAGAGGGGTGATATTTTCATGTGCTTGACTACTCATGATAAGCCCAAAATCTCATTCCTGATGGGGTAATATCTTGTTAAAGCTCATAATTTTATCATTTGAATTCGGAATTTCTCTCCTGTTTGCAACATGCTACATTTATTTGCACAGAATTTGGTCTATCAGCAATTCTTCATTCCTGACCTTAATGCCCTGAATTACTTTTGCTTTATTATTCATCTTTTCCAGATAAGAGCTTCAAGAGAACTTCTTTATCAATTGGTCAGAAAGTTTAAAAAAAAAAAAAGTCAGAAAGAGTAAAAAATATTTCTTTGAGATGGTGTTGCAGATCTTTGGGAAGGATGTTGTTTTGTCAAGAAAACATTTGTGAGAGTTCCTCCAAAGCTGTCTTTGCAAATAGAAAATATGAAGCTGGGGAAAGAAAGAGAGGGGTCGTCAAGCAGAAGGCAAAATCAGAGGAAATGAAGGGACTAAGAAAATGTAAGGAAAAACAAAGTCAGAGATGGAGGCTAAGCCAAATGTTTAGCTGTGTAAGAGCAGAGCTTGTTCTTGCTGCTCAGCACCACAGGATGGTAATGGGCCTTAAGAGTTACATGGAAAGGCAAAACAAATAGTATACTGAAATCTCTGGTGGGAGTACCATGCTGAGTATCCTGCAGGAGGAAAGGAGAATGGGATAGAATAGAATATTTCAGTTGGAAAGGACCTACAATGATCATCTTGTCTGACTGCATGACCACTTTAGGGCTGACCAAATGTTAAAGCAAGTTACTAGGGACATTGTCCAAATGCCTTTTAAACACTGATGGGCTTGGGGTATCGACCACCTCTCTAGGAAGCCTGTTCCAGTGTTTGACCATCCTCTCGGTAAAGAAATGTTTCCTAATGTCAAGTCTGAACCTCCCCTGATGCACTTTGGAACCATTCCCATGTGTCCTCTTACTGGATACCTGGGAGAAGAGACCAGTAAAGAAAATTAGCCAAACCCAGAGTCCTCAGTCACTCCTCATCTGACCAGCTCTTCCACCAGCTCTGTTGGCCTCCTCTGGACACATTCAAGGACCTTAACATTCTTCTTGAATTCTGTGGCTCAGAACTTCACACAGTACTCAGTGAAGCCAAACCATTGCTAAATATAGCAGGAGAATCACCTCTTTTGACCGGCTTCTATCTGGAAGTGTAGGAAAGAAGCAGTTGTGGTACATAAAATCTAGAAATGGAGAAATGAGACTTCAGTGGAGCTCACTCAGCATCTCTGGAAAGTATAAGATCTAGTTTTCTCTCCTTCCATTCACTGCCCTGGAGTCTCCATCAGCTAAAAATGTCCCATTTTGTGCTGTTTCAGTGGATTACAATACAGATCTTTATAGGTGAGTCTTCACCTTTTTGTGTGCTTGCTCAGAAAACAAAAATTTTGTAAAATTAAAACCAGTGACACTTGTTTTGTGAAAACAAAATGGTGAAAAAAGTTGTAATTGTATCCAGAACTTCTAAAGTTTTCTTAGCTTACTGTTAGTACTGATCGAGGGTTTTTTGTTTTGTTTTGTTTTTGTTTTAGTTTTTTTTGTTTTTTTTCTGTTTTTAAAAATATTTGTGGTTTCCTCTGTGTATAGGCTTGGTTAGTTCCCCGGTCCCCTTACTTTATCTATTTTCTTTACTACTGTTAAATGTGTACTTGCTGGCTTTGCTTCTTCATCTGTCTCTTCACCATGTTACAGTGCTGACACAGCCCAAGCTAGGGAATTGCAATATTGAGAGTAATGAATGTATATATGTGATAAAGAAAGGATTTTCTGAAACTGAGGGCTGTCTGCTGCTAGAAATGGAGTGTGGGAAAGAGCATCTGGAGATTCCTCTCCTTTTACTCCCAGGTGTTTGTTTCACTCATCTAAAATCTGAATCCTCAAAAAGACAGAAGTCAAAGAATATTAACTTTAATTCAGGCTGGGTCTTGCATGCGTGGTTGGTATCGGATGCATTTCTGCATGTGCATTTAGGCATCGGCAATGCAGTTTCCAACTTGCCTGAGGTGGCTCAGGAATGTGAGTTCACCCAGTTTCAGTGGGGCATTAGCTCCTATCAGGAGCTGTGCTTTTAAATCACTTAGCTTTTCAGGAAATTCTGTCTCAGACGACTAAATATTAATTGGCTAACCTCTGCCAGGATGAAATGTTACATATAACATCTATAGCAACTGCGATGTTCTTAAACTGATCTGAAAAGTAGTGGAAAAGTTTGGTCAGTGGTGGGATACGCTGAGGGGCAAGAGGTGATCTGGGCCTCGCTGAGGTAAGGTAACACAACCTCCACAGTGTCTGCTGTGCAAATGGAGCTTTGCTGGCACTTTGCTGCAGCCCAAGGAATTCTATAATATTTATTGTCTTTTGCCAGTCTCAGCAGAAGAAACAGGAGGGGTCTTTCCTTGCCATATTTTCAGCCTCAAAATGAATTGGAGGAACTTGCCTCCATTTGGCCTTATTTTAAAAAATTCCCTATATGCAGAGCTACAGAAGGGCAAGAATGACTTTTTGTTGTCTTCTTTTTAACTCATCTCAGTGCTGAGAATGGTTAGTCTTGAGACTCAGGAAATCAGCAGAGTGATTTTCTGTTTATCAGTAATTTTCACTGCAACTTCATCAGTACAGAACCTTCACGAAGAAACAAAAAAACCCACAGGGAAAAGACCCGAAGTATCTTCTACAAAGAAGGAAAATTATTCAAAAAATAGATAAAGAAACAACATTATTTTTCAACCAGCCATCTCAGCTGGACGATGTATGTCTTTCTCCTGGAATGACCAGTCTATGGAAGAGGAGGCCACCACAACAGCAACTATTGGAGTTACTCTTTAATACCACTATTTCTGAGGATTGGTTCAGGAGAGACTATATATAAATATGTGTATATCTAGATGATCTGAACAATTATGAATATCCCTTTCTCTTTAGGAAGATATATTAAACATCTGGAGTCTGTTTCTTTCTCACTTGGATTGAGGACTTAGAGTGGCAAACCTCACTGACTTCAGTGGGACTACCCAGGCATAGCTGATGCTCAGCGTGCCTTGGGTCAAATCTGGATGCCTAGAAGCATCACTGCCCTGGACAAGGGTAGGATTCTTCTCACAGTAAGACTAGGGTGTCACAATGTAACTGTCTCAGGAACTTCTTAATTTCAAAGATATGTTAATTCAGTCCTATTTACTATTTCTTTTGGAAAACATGTCTGTGGAAGAGTCTGCAACTGAGAAGGAAGTTATTTAGTCCTTGCAGGGGTTCATACTGGTGAATCAAGGCTGTTGCAGTATTGACACTTTCCATACCAGATGTTAACAACATTAGCTTCACATAAATTAAAAGAGGATTTGAAACTGCAAACCCTGTAACTTTCTAGCACCAATATTGGTGGGAAACTGCATTGGAGACACTCTGGTGCCTTGTGTCTTCCCTCTTCTTCTATTTATTTATTTATTTATTTATTTATTTATTTATTTATTAGCTCAGGGCTCTGCTTCTTTCAAAGAGAAGAGCAGGCAAATTTTCATTTGTTAAAGGGTTCCTTAATGAAGCTGGTTCTGTGCTGTGCAGGACTGGAATGAAGTAAGTACAGAAGATAAGCCCATTTCTCCTCAAGCAGCAGTGACCTTTACTCCAGGAGCAGCTCAAGCTGGTCTTGGTTTTACATACATCTTTGTTGGGGTGACTTGAAAATATGTGTCACTGTTAGCACAGTGACTAACAGTGACTAACCCCCTGCTCCCCTAGGGATACTTTCAAAGTCAACTGGATGAACTGTTTTGTTTTGTTGTCAGAGAAAGAGGCTGTCTTCTCTGTTTGTTTTGCTGTAACAAGGCAAAACAACATAACCTTTCCAAGGACTAAAACAAGCAGCCATCTTGCAAAGCCTTATCCTGTATTCATGAATTCTTTTTTTGGCACATCCTACCTTCATTTCACTGCATAAGCTTCTGTCCTTCACACCATATTGCATGTTGTTTTGTCTGCCTCTACTTTTTTAGCATTTGGAGCTGTGGAAACCTGAACGAGTTGGCTTATCTTGCCAATGGGATAAACAATAATGAAGCTGAAATGTCATCCCAATAACAAGTCATGAGGTAGCCTGCCACAGACTAAAACCTCACCTGGGGAATAGTCCATTAAAGACAAAACAAAAGAGACATGGACACAGTTGGAAGCATCTGTTTGCTATCTGGGACTCATGCCAAAAAGAAAAGGCATTCAAACAGCTGGCAAAATAGAAATGTTTGGCAAACCAGGGCCAAAGCTGGTGATTATAGCAGCAACTGCTGTAAGTCCTCTTACCCTGTAAGGGGTAAGCAAGCTGGTCATGAGACATCAGATCTGCAGGATGATCCTCTTGCTGCAGCAGAGGACAGGATCTGGATGCTCCCCAGGACCCTCAGTTTCTGCTCCATCATATGTAAATGATAACATGGGGGGAAAAGACAACAAGATAGGAGAACCAACACAGACTAGGTGAATGTAAACAAGAAAAGATTTGTTCCTGTATGGAAACCTTTTAAGTTAGAAATCCTTTTTAGGGCAATCTGGAATCTGCATGGACAGTTATGAGGGAACACTATGTAGCAAAGATTTAAACCAGATGAAGGTGGGTATTGGCTGTAAACATCAAGTACAGCTGGTCATTAAGAGTAAGAACACAAGGAAAGCATGCATATGCTCTTTTTAACATCACTCTAACGCTAGCAGTTAAAGCTCCTAGGTACACAGTGCTCTGCCAGGTAAGGGGGATAGTTAGCAGAGCTTGCTCAGAAACTGAAAAAGCAGTGGACTTTCTGAGAACAGGTTCCCATGGACAGATCCCACTGCTCTGCCAGCTTTATTAGGCCTGACTTCACACATGAATAGGTATTTTGGATGCTGCTATTGAGACTGTCAGTGTAAGGTGACTATGACAGTATTCTCTTTTTTTGAAGGAGATGATGGTGGGCTGAGAAAACCAGATGTATTTCACACCAGGTTTCTGAACAACTTTCAAACAGTCTCATAGGAGAGGAGATGGGATGGGAGCAGAGTCCCCAAATTCCATTTGCAGGTCTGGTCTGCGCTCAGGCTGCCAGGCACAGACCTCATCTTCACTCACCACAAGTTTGATGTGAGTGATGTGTTTCATGAGCAGCTGGCTGAGGCCAGAGCAGCAAGCCAATGCCTGTGAGCTCCAGACTGTCACTCATTGTGCCCTGGGCCACTAGCTGCCACAGGCTGCTGGGGAAGGCTTGGGGAATCAGGAAATGTGGTCTTGCAGCAGGTAGGAGTGCTTTTTTTTTCCTGGCTCATTGTGTTGCATAGGTAGAGTTGTGCATTGGAGACTGCAAACGCTCATCTTTCCTTGTTCTTCCTTGACAGCCCACACCTCATCTGATGCTGTTATTAGAGGAGTAATAGGACAACCTGTTCGATTGCCTTGCTTCTACCAGGTGCCACAACATAAGGGTGTCTATGATATGTGCTGGGGCAGAGGCCCATGCCCAAATTCAAAGTGCAATAACAACATTTTGCACACCACTGGGAATAGGGTGACGTTCAGAAAATCTCAGAGATACAATCTCCAGGGCTATATTTCTTACGGAGATGTGTCTCTCACAATTGGGAAAGTGAAGGCAGAAGATGCAGGTACATACTGCTGCCGTGTAGAGATCCCGGGTTGGTTCAACGACATCAAACGGAACATGCGACTGGAGGTGGTCAGAGGTGAGTTTTGGGGACCCTGTGGTACAGCTAGGAGGGACAAACCTCTCACTGGATGTGGGTTTAAAATTGGAGTTTACATATGCTTTTTTGTTTGTTTTGGCAAAAAGTGTTTTTCCTAAATTACATAGTTTTCAAGGGAGGTCTGCAACCAGTTGCCAATTTCAACTGCATTCAATGAGCAGTTTTGGTGAGAAAATAGTAATGTTTGCCCCTTTTCCTGCCTTTTAGATGAAATATTTAAATTTTCATAGTGTAGCTGTATTTGACGTTTTAAAAGATGATGGAGTTAAAAAAGGGATTTATTATTTGAAGAGCTCTTGGGACAAAATTCAGTTTTTTTGTTTGGGGTTCACCCCAACACCAAAAAGTCTTTGCTTTGGTTCATGTCATAAGGAGACCCATATAGTTAGAAATTTTGTTTCAGAGTCTTGAAGGACTTTTCCCCCTTCCTATTACTGTTGAGCTGCAGGATAAATTAAGTGGCTTACAAAGTCAAGAAGAGGCTGAAAAGCATTGCAAAACCCAGGAAAAAAAGATGGTACCCACCCTCCACACTGCAGAAAGACAATTTTTTTTCTGACTTTTACAGGGTGCTCAGAAGCCTACACAGGACTCTGTGTACCTGTTGTAAGTGATATAACAGGAAAATGGGGCAAAAATGCTGCAATCCCATGTCTGTCCCTTAGTTTGAGGGCAACAGAGTTCGTAAAAAAGGAGCAGTTTGAAAAGATTAGCAAGAAGCTTGTAGCTGAAAACTGAGCTATTTTATTTATTTTATTTTTATGAGGACATTGAAAAGCAAAATGACAAAGTTTGCAAGGTTTTGAGTTCTACCACACAAGGTGAAGGGGCAGAACCCTCTGTAAGTGTTCACCCTTGACCAGAGAGGGTGTTTGAGACCTACCAAACACTCCCCCCTCCCCGCTCTGCCCCAAATCTGTAAATCTGGGAATTGTTCTGGCTGGGGCATGTTTTCTTCTAATTAAACAATCTTTTTAAATAGCAACTCTCCCACCTTCATTCTCAGTATTTTAGCAGATAGATAATTTCCATTCATTTCTGGTGTGGTTTTCCTCACGGTCAGTTGTGAATGCTCTCATCTAGCTTTTCTCTTGGCTGTGTTTTCTCCACACAGCCCCTCCAGTGAGGACAACCACCACAAGAAAGGCTCCCATTTCCCCCAAACATTTTAGAAAAACAACTTTTGCTCCCCAAGCAACCTCTGATCATCAAGCAACAGAAGAAACTGCTGTCCTCCTGACAACCACCATCCCCCCAGCAACAACTGCAACCTCTGATCATCAAGCAACAGAAGAAACTGCTGTCCTTCTGACAACCACCATCCCTCCAGCAATGACTGCAACCGCTGGTCATCAAGCAACAGCAGAGACTACTGTCCTTCTGACAACCACCATCCCTCCAGCAATGACTGCAACCACTGGTCATCAAGCAACAGCAGAGACTACTGTCCTTCTGACAACCACCATCCCCCCAGCAACAATTGCAACCCCCAGGTCTCCAGCAGTAGTTACACTAGAGACCATTGCTGCCTCAACATTTGCTGTGACAGCAAATGACACTTTTCCAGACACTATGGTGACAACTAGTGCTCTCACAGATTTTTCAACTGGTTTCCAAGCAGCTGACATGAGGACTGAAGATGATGATGAGTTCTGCTCAGCAGACTCTGTCCCTTTTCTGGGAGATACAAAGGGTAACCAACACCAATGTTCTATTTTTTTGTGTGTGACACAGTTGATCTATGTTAGCCTGACTCTGGCATTATTGAGACTCTCCAGATACTTTTATTTTTAGCTGTGAAGTTTTCTCCAAGATACCTATAGGTATATCTCAGCAGGTTTAAGGAAACACAGGTCAAATGTTGTGGATGATGCCAAACTGGGGTGAATGGCCAAGATAGCAGAGGATTGGGGTAGCATTCAGAGGCATTTTAACATTCTGGAGAAATAATGTGACAGAAACTTATGAAGTGCAACAGAAATAAATGCAAAGCCCTGCACCTGGGATGGAGTAGGAGAGATTCACTCACTTTGCATTACTTTTTCTCTTGATGTGGGAAAGTCAATTGAAAAGGTCTGCTGAAAAGGTTAGTTTAGAGCATGTCCTGAACCTCTGAGGACAGCATTTCTGTATCATCTTTTGTCCTCCAACCATAACAATATGCCCTAGTTAAACTTGGCAACAATTGTTACATCCACAGCTGAACAGTTGAAACATCTAACCAATGGCCATGCTATTAAGTACATCAGTTATCTGCAGATGTGAAAACTGAGGTGCAGATTTTCACCTCTTGGTTGCAGATGCAGAACTGTGCAAACAATTTTGAACACCATATGAAGACTCCCCTAATCTGCAATCTTTGTAAGTGTTACTTTTTACTTTGTTTCAGTCACTATTGAATTCCCAAGTACACTTCCAACTGCAATGGAAACTAAAAGTTCTGACACTTCCCTCATGGTGGAAGACCTGCCAACTACTGGTGAGTAGGACAACAGTGCAAGGTCAGAAATTGCATATTCAGAGAAATGAAGAAGTTCTCATAAATGACAGTATTGACTATTATTAAGAGTGTACCACACATACTGATAGCTACTCATTGCATCCAGAAGTAAGAGGTATCTGGGGTCCACACAGAATTGTTTGAAATCAGGATGTAACAACAGCTGAGAAAAACATGTTTTTAACCCCCCAAAGGAAATAGATTTTGAGTCACCCATTACTGTTGGGTATCTCAGGTTTGAGAGAAGTTAAGAACTGGTCTTTGTCACCATCCAAGCTAAATTCCCAGATGTCTGACTTGTCATCACTGTGAGTTCATTGGGCTTTCCATTTTAAATCCTTCCTGAGGAAAGCTGAAATTCAAGGATGACATCATATTTGGCTGTTAAGAGAGTCCTTTTAGTTTCAACTAGTGCCTAGAATATCTTCATTCTTAAAAACACAATATTCATATTTTTGCAAGTCTTCTTTTGCTAGACCTAGAGACTTAACAGTAGAAATAGAGTTTAGGAAACTGTTCCTTAATGCCCCTGGAGAGGGCTCACAGAAGAGACTGAACTGGTCTCTTGAGAATTTGTGAGAGTTTCTCACTCCTGTCTCACTTGTCATCTTTCTGATACAGTTCTGGATAATACCTATATTCTGCCATTGTAAATAGGGAGTTCTGCAAAGGTTCTTACCCCTGGGATTCTTGGGGCAACTTAAGTTGTGACTGTGGGCTAGAAAGAGCCACCACAAAATCAAAAACAGTAGAAAACATAATGTGCTTATGTGAGTCATGTACACTCCCACCCATGCAAAAACTTGTCATGCTATTTCCGAGAGCCAAACCATCATAATGTGTGAAAATACCGCAGCATCATTGAGCCCTGTCTAGTGAGAACCATAAGCCAAGTTAAGTTCTTGACTCAGTCTTTTACTCTGTGAAATAATGGACTAAATGGACCAACTTCAGCTTTACTGTAGTGTAAGGGAAGGCTAGTTTGTTACTGAGCTCTGCATTGATGTTAGCAGAGTGGCTGGGAGAGAAACCCATGGTTGAGACAGCCCTCCACCTCCAAGCACAATTCTTGACAGATAGGTTGGGTTAGCTGGG